GTGAAAGAAGGGCGCGCGAGGGCGCACTAGGAGAGAGGCGCACGAGGGCGCTAAGACAGTAGGAGGCACGAGGGCACCTCTAGCGGAACGGTGGGCCCTTAGGTAATCGGTCCTAGGTCACTAACCTAGGCTCTTAATACCTTGTCAGAATGAGAAGTGGTTCCACTAAGTCAAGTGTGGGGTACAAGTAGGAAACCCTAAAGTTATCATACCCCATAGTATCTACCCCATTACTGCCTAATCGAACTGTAGCAGTTATAACATTTGACATCGCTATACTGTCGGCTGTGCCCCCGGTTCTAGTTCTATCCTGTGGTCGTGCGGTCGTTGAGGTGGTAGTCCTGTCGGTAGGTCGTCCGGGAAAATGTCACTGTACTGCTTCAACAGTGCTGCCAGATCACTCGGTACGTCGGCTAGCAGTTTCTGTAAATCCCCTCCGTTGTCTGCTGCCTTGGCTTCCCGGATGTCAACTGTGTACATGTCAGCTCCTGCCGCTACGCCTCATTTCATCGTGATCGCGTTGACACGCACCGACGAAGACTCAGGCGATCCCCAGCGAGGTAAGGCAATGTTGTTACCGTTTACTCGCATAGTGCAGTCACCCGTCGTCCAGTCGATTCGCGGATTGTGTCGTCGCAGCCAATCACGCCCGAGTAAAATGTCGGTTTCGTCGAGGGTCGTTGCGAGCATTTCCTGGCTAAACGTGAAGTTACCCCCACATCGAATCTAAACTCGGTCCACACGTTCCCGTATTGCTAGTGGCGTGCCGTCGACCAGTCTTGCATCGATCTCAGGTAAACATCTGTCCAGTGGCAGTTGCGTTTTTCGTGCTGTGGCAGTGTTGATAAGGGTGTGGCTGGCCCCTCTGTCTACGAAGATTTACTATATCCGTCACGATTTTCCCACTAAGCAGTATAGGGCTGTCTACCGTGGTACCCTCCTTATTCGACCGGGTGTGGTCGATTGCATGAACCGGCACAATCACTCGGTAAGGGTCGGTTGGGTCGGGCGAGCAGCGTGACCTGTCAGTACAGGGCCCGTCTTCTACTGACTCCCAGCGTTTCCCTGCTGCTTGGTCTGTTTCTGCTGCTCAGCTTCCCCATTTCCCTTAGCATTTTCCAGGCATTCGCTCTTGCGGTGTCCCGGCCGATTGCACGCTAAGCAGCGCCCTTTGAACGGTGCGGCAGCGGCATTTGCGGCGACGGCACGTATCGTAGCACTCTCGTTCATCCCGCGAGGCCGATGTCCCCGATTGCTGCTTTCGTAAGACCCCGGTCTCGGTCGGCGGAAGAAATCGAGTTTCTCCGCCATGGCGAGAATCTCCTGAAAATCGGTGACGCCGCGAAGCTAGATTTCATGAGCGATGCCCTGCTTCAGGCTGCCGATGTAGCGGTCGATGCGTTCGCTCTCGTGAATATATCCCACTTGCTCGCATCGCGCCAGAAACCCGCTCGTGTAGTCTTGGACGGAACCGAGTTGGCGCCAAGTGCGAGCCTCTGTCGCGCCGCGATCGAAGCCGCGATTGGCTCAAAACGAGCGCGCAGACCTGCGCACCACACGTTCCACGTGCGATACTGGGGCACCTCCACGAAATACGATGGCGCCCAGGGTCCGATTTGTCCTTCTCGTGTCGGTAGAGTCGCGTAGTCCACCGGCTTCGTGACGATGACACGCCACCTGTCCATGGCGGGTCCTCGCAGCAACGACATGGCGTAGCGAATCTTCGTCGTATCTTCCAAGACGTAGTTCGCGTTGAAGAAAACATTCAACGTGAAGAGCCACGCCTGAACGGTAGGACCACCCCGCTGACTTGGGTCAAAGCATGGCGGACGCTGAGGCTTCAGCGGCATCAGCGACGGTAATGTCAGAGGTCCACTGGTGATCCCCGATTGATCCTAGGGAAGGGTTACAGGCACGGTTGCCTGGGGGGTTATGGGCGCACTGACCCGCTACTTAAACAAGCCCTTTTATCCCAGTGGTCTAGTGGCTGGGATTCTGAGATGGTATCCAGAGCGAAGGTCTCGGGTTCGAATCCCGGTGTATGCACTTCGGGCATCCCAGTGCGGGGGGGTGTCAGAGGTCCACTGGTGATCCCCGATCGATCCTAGGGAAGGGTTACAGGCACGATTGCCTGGGGGGTTATGGGCGCACTGACCCGCTACTGAAACAAGCCCTTTTATCCCAATGGTCTAGTGGTTGGGATTCTGAGAGGTAAAGCTGATTCGCCGGCCGGCACTGAAATTTGACTCGAGGCTGATTCCTGGCCGCATTCGTCGCGTCGGGGTGTGTCGTGCCGTGGTCGTCGTCTCCGTCATGGCGGACGACGCCATCACTTGCGGCGCTTGCGGGTTGCCCCACACTTCCGTGTTGCGATGTCTGTGGTGCGGGCTGAATCGGGGTGCCAGGTGCTCGGGATTGTGCTCGTGAGAGGTCATTTTGCAGGTAGGTACGTTCCCACGTTAATGCCGCGATTTCTTCGGAGTTTTCGTGCAGTTGTCGCACCAGCTCGTCCAGGCGGTCCTTCGTGAGGTCAATGACGTCAATATGCTCTGCCATTCCAATGGGCGTCGGCTCGTCTTAGTCTAGGCGCTGTCGTGGCTGCACGCGTTTACGAGAGAACGCGAGGACAGCGGCTCCTAGGTGCTAAGGTGCGTGAGTCCCTTCGAGTGAAAAATCAAAAGTTGATTTCCTGGGGTGTGGAGATGCGCGGTCCGAAAAGGAAAGAGGCTCTGAATACCAAGTGTTACGGGTGCAATGAATCGAAGTAGCGAGAATTGCACTAAGGTGTCAAACGAGTACAAAATGTGAGCGAAGGCATGAGCGAACATTTATACGCGAAACATGCAAACGGTAACGCGGTGCGTGCGAGCTAGCTAGTGCTATGCTGGAAGCGAGTTTTTGGCTAGTCCCGAAGCGTAGGCCGATACGGCCAGCAGGGCCCAAATTTCAAGGGTATTTTACCCTTTTTGCCCTGCTCATAGGCCACTTTTTGGCAGTTACCCTTTTCAAATCAGGGTATGCAGATTTTTACCCTACTGCAATCAGAATACGCTTAAAAGTACTCTTGTAGCTTTTCCAGTTACACTGACTGTATCAGGGTAGGGGTTCAACTACCCTTTTACCGGAACTTTTCCGTACCACGGATTCCGCCACAGTCCGCGCCACGACGAAATGCTCCACGGTCCCACTGGACCATTTGTTGGATACACCCACTGGCGCGCCAACGTACATTCAGGGCGGATGGCACTGCACACCTACGATTGGTCCGTTGAGCGACATTGAAGCCAACGCACCCAGTTTCCGTGCGTCACGCAATATCGCGCACTGCCAACGGAGGCAAATTGCGCGCCACGTGCTGTCGTTTCCACCACCTGGCAGACACTGTGGCCTTGCAGCCATTGCCGTGCAGTTCCCTACCAGCGAGGGAACCTTGCTGCCTGAGGCGCCTTGGGCTTTGTGATTCCCGAGGGGTCTCTCAGGCTCTTGCCATTCTCTCGTTTCCCTCTCGTTTGTTGTTCCGAATGCCTGCCTCTGAGCCTGATCCGCCTGGTAGCACCAGGAACGGTCTCTCCGTTCTCGGTGTGTTACCTCGGCTGGCAGAGAACTATAGCGTCCCTATCTCTCAGCCTGCGCGTGAGCCATCCCCTGAATTTCTTGCCGGCACCGTTTTCCCGTGCAAGCGTTCGGCCTCGCCAAAGTCCCGGGAGCCACACCCGTCTCTCGACCATGTTCTCCCAGCACAACGGCGAGGAGTTTCATCAGGCGCTGGGGAACATGCTGCGCGACGAGGCGTGGCGTGCGTCGTTCCCCAACATCGTGCGGATGTGGCAGTCTGTCGCCGTGCTACCACTGAGCACGGTTGAATGTGAGCGCGGCTTCAGCAAGCAGAACCTGATCAAGATGTGGGACCGCGGCAGCCTTGGCGACACAAGCCTTGAGCACCTGATGCGGTGCTCCCTCCTGCAGTACGACATTGACTGGTATGAGGTGGTCGCCATATTCCGCGGGGAGAAGCTCAGGTGATCCACCAAAGACTTCTCCGGCATGAAGGCCAGCAGCACTAAGCAGTTTGCAGACGAGGCAGTTGCTAGTGCAGCAGATGTTGATTGACTGGTGTCTTCTGTAGGGCCCTCTATTTAACTTGGTTGGTAGTAAAGCTTGTAGGTGCAGTGCAGAACACTTTAGTGATAACTAAGTAATTGTTGTAGTAGTACAATCTTATGCTTAGGAAGGAAACAGTGTACGACATATGTTATCCTGCCAAAATCAGTGTACCAAAACTTTTAGGCTGCTACAATCAGTGTACGAGAAACTTTACCCTACCAGTCAGGGTACGGAGGGGATGCCACCCTGATTTGAAAGAGTGAGCTAAAACCTATTTTGGGCCCTGACGGCCAGGCCAGCAGTGCGAGGTTTTGTGAAACAGTGCGCGCGAAGTCGGCGAAGCCCCGTTAGCAGTAACGGGCGAACAAAGGCTGCTTCTGTACGCGATGTTGCAGGGTGTGCTAAGGAATATCGAGAAAATTCCTTAGAGAAAGAGTATTATGTATACTTAGTAGATGAGAGATGATCATGTCAGCAGTATGTACCTCCAGGTTGCTATGAGTGAACACCTTCAAGGCCATCCGATACGTTGAATTTGGACAGCCCAAATCCCAAGAAATGGCGGGAAATTGGAGGTCTTTCCTAGCACACGAGAGCCCTTTCGCGATTCTAGTTCCTCGCGTCCGGCCGCCCCACAAATCGGAATTCTCTGAGCTCTCGTTCACCAAGGCACTTGGTCGCACGGTCGCCTCGATAGATGAGACGCGCTGGTAGAATCTGGGGATGTAGGCTGGTCCCACCTCGAAGCACATCATAGCTGACTGTAACATCTCAGAAAGCGCATTCTCTTAGAGGCTCGTTGCGTCGGAGTAATTCCCTTCGACGCGCCGAGCAGTAGTCTGATCACCACAGTCCCGGCAACCAGCAGCTGGTAACCAGGAACACCATTACGAGCGATGTCGGTGGAGTGTCCAGTACCGGGGGAGCTTCCGGGCGACGAGGTAGTAGACAGCAGGACGGACGGGGGAATAACGGCGGGGGGAGCGGACGGGAAAGACGGTGCGCGGAGCGCGACGGCGGGTAGCCGGAAGACGAGTCTGTCGTCGCGCGGCGCGCGCGCTCTGGTGCCGTTCTCGCCGTACATCAATGCGGTCAACAAGGCCAAGGAGGAGCCCTACTCGGAAAAAACGCCTGATGGATACTTTCTGGTCGGTGGGATTTTGTTTTCCAGAATTTTTTCATCCGGCCGGGTTCGCGTTTTCATGCAATGTTAAGGCGACTTAAGAGCCTTACTCCAATAAAACGCCTGATGGATTCTTTCTTGTCGGTGGACCTCGTTTCCGGGAAGAGTTGATCCGGTCGAGTCTGTTTCTGAAAGGCCTCTTATTCAAAGTTTTGCAAGGATTCGATAGGGAGGGCCAATTTGTGAGGGTTTCAGTCCTTTGTGGTACAAATTCAGGTCCTTAGTTTTTTTTTTTTTTTTTTTTTTTTTTTTTCAGTTTGCAATGCAACCTGCGTTGTTGAATACCGCCACTGCTTTTTGCTGTTTTTTTACATTTTCTTCTCTCGCCCGTTCGCAGATGGCACAAGCAGAGACTGTCCTGACGTTCGACTTGATCCATGAGAAAATCAAGTAAGTCAGCCTCGGAACATCATACTTCCTTTCCCTTCAGAGTCTTGAGTATCGTCGTCCCCTTTTCACTTCTGTGTCATTTGTATTCTCTCCCTTCGCATCAAAGGCCTCGAGTTTTTTTCACATTTCCTGACCTCATTCTTTCAAGCGTGTGCTTTTTCGACATTTCTTGAGTATTTTCTCCATATTTTTCGGATAATGTATCCAGATTTCTGCTGTATTTTTTTCCATGATTCTTGAATTTTATTTCCACATCAGTCCGCTCCATTGTATCACCCAACTAGCACCTGCGAAAAAAACCCTCCCTAATTCGATTGACGTTACGTCACCCATCTAGCACCAGCAAAAAACCTCTTCCCCATTTCTAAAACATGACGACACCTTACCCAACTGGCACCAGCAAAAACCCTCTACCCCGTTCTAATGTCTACCTGGTCAGCATATCTTGTCCTCTCCACCACCTATGCCCCACACGAGCTGCAGAAAGTTGCCAAGGCATATCTTCTGTGACTTCTGAGTTGACTCCAATTCCCCTTTCACCTGTCCGGCGAATCTTGTCCGTTTCTGTGCCTTACGCCCCACAGGAGCTGCAGGGAGGTCCTGTCGACGATAGGGCTGTACGGCAACTTCAGTGGCGGGCAGCGGCTGAGGCAGGCCATTGCCAACATGATGTGACTCTTGAATCGACTCAAAATTCACCTCTCACCTGGCCGGCATATCTTGTCCTTTTCCATGCCCGAAACCCCACAGGAGCTGCAGGGAGGTGCCATCGACCATCGGGCTGTACGGCAACTTCAGGGGAGGGCAGAGGCTGAGACAGGCCATTGCCAACATGATGCAGCGCACGTTCATGGGCGTGGATGTGGACCCTCTTCACATCTGCATCTCCAGTGGGGTCACCGCGTGAGTGGGGCATGGCATGGGTGGAGCACTGCGTGAGTGGGGTTATCATAAGAGTGGGGCACTGCATTGGGTTACCATGTGAGTGTTGTGTATGAAATTGAGCCTATATGATGCAGCGCACGTTCATGGGCGTGGATGTGGATCCGCTGCACATCTGCATCTCCAGCGGGGTCACTGCATGAGTGGGGTTATTGAGTGAGTGGGTTTATCATATGAGTGCGCCGTGGCGCAAACCTTGGGGTTGCCTCATGAGCGTGTGTGCAGCCAACATGATGCAGCGCACATTCATGGGCGTGGATGTGGATCTCCGTCTGCATCTCCAGTGGGGTCACTGCATGAGTGGTGCATGGCATGGGTGGATCACTGCGTGACTGCGAATCTCCGAGCCGGTTTATCAACATGGGTGCTACAGTGGGTTCTCGTGTGAGTGATGGTGTGGGTTTACCGTGTGAGTGATGGTGTGGGTTTACCGTGTGAGTGATGGTGTGGGTTTACCGTGTGAGTGATGGTGTGGGTTTACCGTGTGAGTGATGGTGTGGGTTTACCGTGTGAGTGTTGTGCCGGCCGCAACCACCTGCGATTCCCCTCCCCTCATTCTTCTCTCTCACCCCGCCCCCTCCCCACCCCAACCACCCCCACCAGCGTGTTGGATCTTTTCTTCTTCGCCACCTGCTGTGCAGGCGAAGACTGCTTCATCCCCCGTCCCGCAGCATCTCTCTCCCCTCTTCCCTCTCCTCTCCTCTCCTCTCTCCCCCCCTCGCCCCCCCTCCCTCCCTGCCCCCCACCAGCGTGTTAGATCCTTTGCCACGTGCAGTGCAGCAGGCGAGGGCTGCTTCATCCCCCCCCTCTTCTTCCCTCTCCACAATCTCTCTCCCCCATTCACCTCCTCCCCTTCCCCTCTCCCCCTTCTCTCCCTTCTCCCAACCACCAGCGTGTTGGATCTGTTCTTCTTTGCCACGTGCAGTGCGGGAGAGGGCTGCTTCATCCCCGCGCCCTACTTCCCTGCCTTTGACAACGACATGAGCATTCGGGTATGGAGGGAGGGGCGTAGGGGTGTGTGCATGAAATCAAGAATGAATATCAATGTACGCTGCTTCACCCCCACACGCTACTTCTCTGTGTTTGACAATAACATGAGCATCATGGAAGGGGATTGTCCGTACCCTCACGGACAAAGTTGGTTGATCATGAGGGTAGGGAGCTGAGGGTATGAAACAGCATCTGGGTAGCAGGTAAAGGCGTGAGGATGAGGGCATGGATTATTTAAGGGCATGAGCTTCCATGTGAGCTGCTTCCATGTAAGCTGCTTCATCCGCGCACCCGCCCCTTTTTCCTCACCAGAACGAGGTGGTGCCCATCCCCATTCAGACTCAGGACACGTGCAGCTAGGTGACTTTTGAGTCGACTCAAAAGTCACCTCAGACTCAGGACACGTGCACCTACATCCCCACCACCCTTGAGACGGAAGAGGCCTTCATTGCTGCATAGGCAAGGGGTGTTCTGAGTCGACACAAGATGAACAGATGCAACTGAATTCACCCTCTCTCCCCTCGCCCTCTCTCCTCCCTTCACCAGAACAGCATGGTACCCATCCCCATCCAGCCGCGGGACACGCGCAGTTACATACCCACCACCCTTGAGATGCACTGCCGCAGCGCTCATGCCAGAGGTGACCTGGGTCCAACCAAAAGCACACATGCAAGTGAACTCTCAGAGTCCCCTCATCTCCCACCCTCTCCCCATCAGAACGAGGTGATACCCATCCCCATCCAGCCGCGGGACACGCGCAGCTACATCCCCACCACTGAGGAGATGGAGGAGGCCTTCACCGCCGCACAGGCTAGGGGCATTCGCCCGCGCGTGATGCTGCTCACCAACCCCGGCAACCCCCTCGGCACGCTCTACCCTGAAGCCACCCTCAAGGTGAGCCCAGTATTGTTTTGTTTGCATGCTGTTGTGGGGACCACTGCTGCCCAGCACTGGTGTCACGTCAACCACTCTCAAAGCATGCGTGCTGCTGCTCACCAAACCCCCTCGGCACGCTCTACCCTGAAGCCACCCTCAAGGTGAGTCACTGGTCTTTCTCATCTTGCAGTCTCGTTCTGTAAGCCATGCATGCCATGCAAGCCATGCATGCCATGCATGCATGCATGCACTCCCTCAGTAATAAACAAATAATAAACAACCTGCACATCTGCTGTATCTTTCTTGTCCCCACGCACACATGCATGCAACCACCCACACACACATGCGTGCAGGAGCTACTGCTATGGGCGATCAACCACGAGCTACATGTGCTGTCAGACGAGATCTACGCCAACTCCAAGTTCGGGTGAGCCTCGCTCTGCATGTGCACGCACTTCTGCCCTTACTGCCCTCACTTCCGCCCTCTCTGCCCAGTTCCCCCCCTTCCCCTCATCCCCCCCTCCCTCGACTCCTCTACCCTCATTCCCCCTTCCCCCGTTCCCCCCTCCCCTCTCTCCCGTTCCCCCCTCCCCCTCTCCACTGTTCCCCCCTCCCGCTCTCCTCCGTTCCCCTGGCTCCAGCTCCTCAGCAATTGAGTTGGGGAGCAGGCAGTGGGGGAGGAGCGAGTGCACACGGAGTATGGCATGAGCAAGGACTTAGGCTCCTCATCATAGGCCCCTTTCTCTCTTCCTCTCCCCCCTGTGCTGCATCCAGGTCCGCAGCTTTGGAGTTTGTGAGCATAGAGAAGGTGGCGTGGCGGGCCATCTGGTGGCGGAGGGGACGCTACCACAAGCGCTGGCAGTGGAGCGAGTTCACACGGCATACGGCATGGGTAAGGACTTTGGTCCCTTCTCACTCCCATCTCCCTCCCTTACCCCCTGTTATCACTCCTCTCTCTGCAGTTCCTCCGCCTCGGAGTTCGTGAGCATAGAGAAGGTGGCGGGACACCTAGTGGCAGAAGGGAGGCTACCACAGGCGCTGGCAGAGGAGCGAGTGCACACGGCGTATGGCATGAGCAAGGACTTTGGCATGAACGGGTTCCGCGTGGGGTGCCTGCACACCAAGAACAAGGACCTCTTGGCTGTGAGTCGTTCGTTCTTGCACGCCACTATGCCATTCTGATTCTTTTGTCGACTCAAAGTCACTGGGTAATTTTTAGGTTTTCCTCATAAAGTAACCTTCATTCCTGCATGCTATGCTGATTCCTGAGTCGACTCAAAAGTCACCTCGTCACATCACAGTGCCTGCCTGCACACCAACAACAAGGACCTGTTGGTTGTGAGTGGTTACTCCGCATGCCATGCTGACGTGCAGTGTCATGACATGCCGTGCCACGCTGTACCATGCCATAGCATACCATGCCAGCATCGCACCTAACACTTCCAAGCGATACCGTTCCTTCTATTAACCCACTCACCTACACCCAAAACTCGCTCATTGCCCCTGCAGTGTCAAAGGACACACAGCATGCCGTCCCACTTGTTCCTCTTCTTGTTTCACCCACGCACCACCATCTCTCGCTCATCACCCCTGCGACCCCCACTTCTGGCAGAACATCGGCATGTCTGCAGCGGTGCCAAACGACTCACCAGCACACTAATGCCCTGTTGATGGACCCACATACCACCAGCTCTTATCTATTCCCCCTGTTGCCCTGCTGCATGCAGTTTTGGCAGAACATTGGCATGTTTGCAGCCGTGTCAAACGACACACAGCACGGCATTGCCTGCTGTTGATTGATTGACCCGCACTCCGCCGTTTCTTGCTCATTGCCCCTTCTGCTGTCCGCCAGTTCTGGCAGAACATTGGCATGTTCGCGGCTGTGTCAAACGACACACAGCACGCGCTGTCTGTGATGCTGGAGGATGACAATTTCGTCGACTCCTACGTGTCCGAGAATAAACGGTGAGAATCGGGACTGAGGGACCTGTGGTGAGAGCAAGTGGTTAAGTGGCAGACATTGATGCAGCACGCACCAGTCACTCGCCTGCAGCACGCCCTGTTTGTGATGCTGGAAGATGACAAATTCGTCAACTCCTATGTCTCTGAAAACAAACGGTGAGATTAAGCGGTGAGAATGGGGAAGTGCGCTGCGGGATAGGTGGTGAGAACAAGTGGTGAAGCGACAGACAGTGATGCAATGCAGCATGCAGCACACTCACCTGCCACTCACCTGCCACTCACCTGCCACTCACCAGCCACTCACCTGCCACTCACCTGCCACTCACCTGCCACTCACCAGCCACTCACCTGCACTGCAGCACATGCTGCCAGTGAGGCTGGAAGGTGACAAGTTTGTCCACTCAAATGTCTACGAGAACACCAGTGAGAGCAAGCGGTGAGATCACAGCGGGGAGAGCGACGAGGTGGCAAACAGTGATCCCTCAAAGGATACACACTCGCTCATCCGTCGCGTTGTGAGTCCTGGCAATGACTGAACTCTCACCGCGCGCAGGCTTTCATTACGCTGACTCGCATTGCTCATTCCACGGGATCGGAAACGCACTCTTCACCTACCTGCCAGCCGCACCCTCTTCACTGATCAACCCCACTGGATAACCCCACACACCCCCGTTCCCCTTCCCTCCCTCCATCACCATCCCAGCTGCCTCAAGATGTCATACGACCTGCTGACATCAGCGTTTGAGGCAGCGGGCATGCAGTACCAGCCGCCATGTGCAGCCATGTTCTGCTGGCTTGACCTGTGCGCCATCCTCTCTCAACCCACCCCACCCCTTTCTCCCCTAAACCCTTGCTCCTCCTCCCCTCTTCTCCAGACACTTCCTTCCCAAATCAATTCCCGCCATCTTCTAATCCCCCCCTCTCCTCTCTCCCCTCCCCCCCCTGCCACCCCAGGCGCCTCAAGATGTCATACGACCTACTCACATCAGCATTCGAGGCAGCGGGCATGCAGTACCAGCCGGCATGTGCCGCCATGTTCTGCTGGCTGGACCTGCGCGCCATCCTCGCTCACCCCACCTTTGAGGCGGAGCGGCTGCTGTGGCGCGAGATTCTCGACTCGTGCAAGATTGTCATCACACCAGGTGCGGTAGTGAGTATGCAAGGTGTGAGGGTGATTGCGCCAGATTAAGCAAGCGTCAATCATCCCAATACTTCAACATCCCCGCCATCCTCCCTGAGCCCACCTTCGAGGCGGAGCGGCTGCTGTGGCGCGAGATTCTCGACTCGTGCAAGATCGTGATCACGCCAGGTGAGCTGGTGATTACCCCAGGTGCAATGCTGACACCGCCAGGTAGAATAGGCATCAGTAAGCACAATACTTCAACACCCCCCCCAACCTCTCTGAGCCGACGTTTGAAGTGGAGCGGCTGCTGTGGTGCGAGATCCTTGACTCGTGCAAGATCGTGATCACGCCAGGTGCAGCACCCTTTCTCTTCGGTAGTATTGCTACTGCAGCCCCTGAGGCTCCTTACCATGCTCTCTGCCTTGCCTCCATGCTCAATGTCTCCCATGAACTGCTCTGTTGCCTCACATCGTGCCCCTATCTCCCGATTCCCCCCTGCCTTGCCACAAGCAGGGCAGGCATGTCACTAAGGCGAGCCGGGGTTCTTCTGCATGTGCTACGCCGCCATTCTGCCATGCCGCCAAATTCAATGCACCATTCCTCTCCCCGCATCGTGCTCCCATTATCCTGTTTGTTGCCACGACCAGGGGAGGCGTGCCACTACGGCGACCAGGGGTTCTTCCGCGCGTGTGTTACGCCGCCAAGCAGACATGCTCAATGTCCTCTGCCTCTCTGCCTCTCGCCACATCCTCCTCCCATTGCCCTGTGCCTTGCCACAACCAGGAGAGGTGTGCCACTACGGCGAGCCGGGGTTATTTTGTGTGTGCTATGCCGTTATGTCCCGTGTCTCTCATTCTTGCACCCCATACTATGCCCCCTTCCGCATGCCTGGGTATGACCAGGAGAGGCGTGTCACTATGGCGAGCCGGGGTTCTTCCGCGTGTGCTACGCCGCCATGCCGCCCGAACAGCTGTCCGTGGCATGTGCCAGGCTGGCTGCCTTCTGGAAGAAAAAAGTGGCGGAGAGAGCAGTGAACGGGCAGGAGGAAAGCGGGCAGGGGGAAAACGGGCAGGGGGAAAAGGTGCAGGAGTTGACCGGGAAGGCAGAAAATGGGCAGGGGGCAGATGGGGAGCGAAGGGATGGGGAGGGGAAGGAAGAGGCGGAGAAGGAAGGAGAGGGGGAAGGAGTGAATGAGACTCATGAGACGTCTCAAAAGGAGGGAGGAGTGGAGGTGGGGGCTTTGAGTAGAAAACGCAAGGCTGAAGGCGACCCTGGGGATGCTTAAAGCCAAGGTGTTACGGTTTTGCAGTCTTGGGTTAATTTACTCATTGCACTGCCACAGAAGAGTGGTTAAATCAGCTATTCAAGCTCTGGGATTTTGTATGATCAGCAGCATGTTACATTGGGTCCATATGTGCTTGGAATGTAAGGTACGTGTGAAAGGGCAAATCTGGTTGTGTTTGGCTCAACCCGTGTAATGATTCAAAGTGGACCCACTTGTGGTTTGCATTGCATTGGACAATATTCTACTGAACAAATATACTGTTCATCTCTAAACAGCACGTTTATTCACTATGAGCATTGACATGTTTATTGATCGCGTTTGTCGCTGGACAAACACGTTTATTAGGTGTCACCTAAAGATGAGCATAGACAACGCGACTGTCCCTTGTCGCACCTGCCATCAAAACGGCAAGCCCCTGCCCATCGGCTTCTGCCGCGCTAGACGGCCCCGCGCGAGCCGCTGATACAAGGTGCTCACGAGAACGGTTCGCTCCAGCACCTGCCCGAGGGTCCGTCCGAGCATCGCCAGCTGCAGCAGCGTCCTCCAGCATATCACGAGAGCCGATACGCGATGATCCGAGGCGGGGGTGGAGGAGGGAAACGAGGGGAGACTGGATTTCGGTGACGACTTGAGAGCGTTTGGGTGTGGATAAGTGTCGATGCAGCGGTTTGGTGAGCACGCGACGTCGATCGCCGTGGAGCAGCCGTGTTTCGCGGCGTGTTGTGCATCATTTTCAAAGAGCAGGAACGCTGCTGGAAACCCGGTTCCGTTTAACGATGAGCCAGGCTGCTTGGCAAGCGACTGAAGATTGTTAACCGGATGCGATACACATTGCGACGATGACGGGTAAGCCGCTGCTGTACTAGCAAAAGCACCCTGTACACTATGAACGGAAGTAGGCAAAATACGGTCTTCGAATTGATCATTGTGAGCCAGCATCTCGCCAATCGCCGTGTGAAGGGACTTGGAGAATCGAACTACCTCCATGGCTCTAACTAATCGAGCTCGAAACCCTTACTGATTATTGATTAAAAATGAGGTCAGCGAGGAGTAAGGCCGAGTGCAGCAGCAGCAGCAGCAGCAGCAGAACCAGCAGCTAGGCAGCAAGGATAGCTTCTGGTGGATGGTAAAGTGGGATCACATGTAAAAAACTCACGATCAAGCTCGAATGAAGTTCGCTGAAGCTTTTCTTCACGAAATTGTTAGAATGGAGAGACAACTCTGGAGAAATAGCTTCACATGCTGGAATTTTATCGTCGAAAAGATCGCGTCACACCATCAATGCCAAGGAGCCGTGAAGATCGTGACGAGGTGGAATGGCGGGAGGGAGCAGAACGTCGCTCACAAGACAGCAATAATTACGGCTCTTGATCAGAACAGAACGTCGTGCAGTGCAAGAATGTACTTACCCCCTCCGCAAATAATTGTAGTGTACTCTCAGTCTAGTCCACTTCCTGGCTGGCCTGTGCCGTGAGCGGCGCGTGCATTCTCGATTTGACCAGCTGTAAAGTATTGGTCCCAATTTTTTCGCAAGTACTTTCTTGACCAATCATATTCCACAGATTTACCAATACGCGTTCTGAGAAGTCGCATGATGAGCCAGGTCAGACCCTGCGACGGGCGTTCCAGTCGTCTGCTCTGGGAGACGGGGATGAGAGACTGATTGTCAGCGAACTCAAGAATGGTGACTGGTAATGGACGAGTGTCGTGAGCGTGCCTTCTGGGGGACGGGGATGAGAGACAGATTGTCGCGAAATCATGAAAGGTGATCAAAACGCCGTCGCGAAATGGGACGAATTAACTGCCAGTTCGGTTTGTTGACAAATATTCGCTGACATAAGTCTGCGTGTGCGAATGGACTGGCGAGAGGTACGCAGAATCCATCCACACAGGTTAAATTGCTTTCTGTAACCCGAAACACTTCGCCAGCATCGAGCACTCGCTAAACCAATAATCTGAAGTCGAAAACTGTACATAGCGAACAGATATTCAAGCCAGCGGAATCTTATCAAAGACTAACAACCCTCGACAACAAGCAGTCTACTTCACCCTGTCGTCTACTTTCCACGACGGAACGACTAGATGGTTTAGCGACATCGTGACACATCCGCGTCAACGACGCGGCATGCGGCACCGGACCCGGTGCCAGGCCTTCAAACCTGACTGAGTGCGACGAACCTTTCTCCCTCGTCGGTGGGATCTATCCGTTCTGCGACGAACACGATCCCAAAAGTTCAAGCCAGTTTGATGTAGGTGCGAAACGGCAAGTCGCAAGCGCGCGCTTTTGTTTCGACGAGATTATGTAGGCTGAGAGAGGAGAGCTGGCGAGGAGGAGTTAAGGAGGCTGGAAGCCTTCTCCTTATGTGAGGTTGGGTTAGGTTAGTTAGGTTAGTTTTAGGTTAGGAAGAAAAGGAAGGAGGGGAGTGAAAGGAAGGGCTACAAGGTCAGCGAAAGAGGTAACGGAGGACGGGAGGAAGAAGGGAGGAGCAAGAGAGGGTGCGAGGTGGAGCAAGTTCGAAGTCAAGAGTAGGTGCATCAAGGGACGGTGAATCAAGGAGCGGTGAATCAAAAGGCGGTAAACCAAGGGACGGTGCATCAGCGTACATTACGGGACGGTGCATCGAGGGACGGTGCATCAGGGGACGGTGCATCAGGGGACGGTGCGTCAGGGGTCGGTGCGTCAGGGGACGGTGCTTCAGGGGACGGTGCTTCAGGGGACGGTGCGTCAGGGGACGGTGCTTCAGGGGTCGGTGCGTCAGGGGACGGTGCGTCAGGGGACGGTGTTTCAGGGGATATGGAGACGAGGACGGTGCAGCAGAGGACGTTCAGCCTGCCATCGCCGCACAGCTACCTGCGCATTACCATGTGAGCGAGACGGCACAGCTACCTGCGCATTACCATGTGAGCGAGACGGCACAGCTACCTGCGCATTACCATGTGAGCGAGACGGCACAGCTACCTGCGCATTACCATGTGAGCGAGACGGCACAGCTACCTGCGCATTACCATGTGAGCGAGACGGCACAGCTACCTGCGCATTACCATGTGAGCGAGACGGCACAGCTACCTGCGCATTACCATGTGAGCGAGACGGCACAGCTACCTGCGCATTACCATGTGAGCGAGACGGCACAGCTACCTGCGCATTACCATGTGAGCGAGACGGCACAGCTACCTGCGCATTACCATGTGAGCGAGACGGCACAGCTACCTGCGCATTACCATGTGAGCGAGACGGCACAGCTACCTGCGCATTACCATGTGAGCGAGACGGCATAGCTACCTGCGCATTACCATGTGAGCGAGACGGCATAGCTACCTGCGCATTACCATGTGAGCGGAGTGAAGGAGAGCGGGCGAGAGGGAGTGAAAGGAATAGGGAAAAGAGTGAAGGGTGAGGGAGAGAAGGAGAGGGAGTGACGGGGAGACAGAGGGAGAGGGAGAGGGGGAGGGAGTAAGGGAGAGAGGGAGAGAGGGTAGAGAGGATGGGTGAGGGGAATGACTCAAAACTCTTCGTGTTCTCCTCTCCGTTTCTGCCTCAGCGGCTCTGTGAATGTGAATGTGAAACTTTCTCAGGCATCTCAAAATTCCTTTCCTCGTGTTTCCTAATTCATTCTCCATCAGATCTATGAATGTGAGTTGCTTTCTGAGGCGTCTCAAAAATCATTTCCACGGGTTTCGTTATTCGTTCTCCTTCTACCTCAGATCTGTGAATGTGACCCGCCAGCAGCAGCAGCCGCAGCAGCCGCAGAGGAAAGGCGAGCAAAAAGGGCAGCAGAAAGGCGTGCAGAGGGGCGAGCAGGGGGGTGTCCAGAGGGAGGTGTTGGAGCGGCTGCTGGGGGACTCACTGGTGGCTCTGTTTGGGTCGGTGGGGGCAGGCAGCATCCAGGCGTCTCTGCTGGTTCTCTCCTGCGACCCCTGTGGGCCCCACTCCGTGGCTGTGCTGCGCTGTGATAAGAGGTAAGCCTAAAGGGGAGGCCTGAAAGGGATGTGTTAGAGCGATTGCTACGGGACTCCCTGCTCCCTTGCGACCCCACTTCGTGGCTGTGCTGCAATGTGATAAGAGGTGAGCCTGGAGGGGAGGGTTGAGAGGGAGGGGAGACCTGAGTAGGAGGTGTTGGAGTGATTGCTATGGGACTCCCTGCTCTCCTGCGACCTCTGAGAACCCCACTCCGTCGCTGTGCTGCGCTGCCACAAGCGGTGAGCTTGGAGGATGGGTCGGGGAGGGGATGTAGCATGCTTGCTACTGCACTCCGTGCGTTCATCCTGTGCCAGCTGGCTGTGCCGTCCAGCTGGCTGTGCCGTCCAGCTGGCTGTGCTGTTGGGGTGGATGTGCCGTCCCCTGTCTGTCCCATAGCTCCCATGCGCCTGTGTCTGTTGCTGTTCACGCAGCAGTCACGAAAACAAGGTGTATCTGTCAAAATGAGGAATGATGATGCCATTGATGTTGGTTGGGGTACATATAACAAACCCTAACTTCTGTACCCCCTAAGACAAACCTCACTACAGGCTACAACATTTGACACACCCCCATAGCCTAAGTGAGGGGTGTCTAGCAAAATAAAAAAGAGTACGGTCACAAGACCAGTCCAAAAGAAAACAAAGCTCAGGGTGGATCACAACGTCACCACACTCTCTGAGCACAAGCAACAGTGGCCACAAGGCCAGTCCAAGAGATCACAAGTATATAAAGCAAGAGTACAGACGAAGCAGGCAATAAACTCAAGCCTACACATGACTAGAACCTGTGTCAACAAGGCCTAACTGCACACAACACCTCTGGTGGTCACGAGGCGGAAGCGCCTTGGTGAAGATGTCTGCAGTGTTGGCCTCGGACTCCATAAACTCGAAGCGAGCCTGTCCACGTCTCTGCAACTCTCGCAGAAGAAAGTACCTGACGTGAATGTGCTTCACTCTGCTCTCCAGTCGCGGCTCACGACAGAGGAGGATCGACGCCTTGTTGTCAGTGAACAAGGTCGGTGCAGAGCTCGGCCGCTCACCAAGGTCGGCGAGCAAGAAGGTCAACCAACGCAACTCCTGTGCCGCCATGACACCAGCGTAAATCTCAGCCTCAGCTGTAGAGGTCGAGACAGAAGAGGAGCGCGTGGAACGCCAGGAAACAGCTCCAGAACCCAGACTGAAACAGTACCCCTGAGTAGACCTGTGAGTCTCAGCGTCGTCAGCGTAAGAGGAGTCACAGTGACCAGTGAGTACGACAGACTGCTGCCCTCCAAGAACTAGCCCCACGCCTGATGTAGTCGCTAGGTACTTCGCCACCCTCACAGCTGCCGTCCAGTGAACAGGACGGTGTCTCCCTGGCGCAACAAAGCGCGCAAGGATGCTGAGAGGGAAGGCGAGGCCCGGGCGAGTATAAGTCATCAGGTACATGAGGCAACCCACAAGCTCTGCGTAGGGACCACTAGGCTCAAACGGCTTGTCAGGAAAGGGACCAGTGAGTCTGTGGTCAACAGCGAGAGGTGTGCGCTGTACGGTGGAGTGCTGAAGCCCGAACCGCTGAAGGACCTGCTGCACCATGTGTGACTGTGAGAGTGTAATGGTGCGAGCGGCTCTGTCCCTGGTGATCTGCAGGCCAAGGTAGTGGCGCAGCTCACCAAGATCAGTGCACGTGTGTCTCTTCTGCAGTTCGGACTTCACGTCTGCCAAAGCAACCCTGTCCGGAGTGGCGAAAACGAGGTCGTCGACGTAAACCAGAACAAAGAACGGTGTGGAGCCACGACGAACGAACAGCGACGGGCCGGCAGAAGACGGCTGGAACCCAAGGTCAGAGAGGGTAGAACGCAGAGTGTCGTGCCACTCACGAGGGGCCTGGCGAAGACCGTAAACAGGTCGCCTCAGCCTCCACTGGGTCCCAGGAGGGAAGGTGCCAGTGAAGGCCGAGGGACGACGCAACCAGACCTCCTCGTGTAGGCTGCCCTGAAGGAAAGCAGTGGAGAAGTCGAGAGAGTGTAACTCGTAGTCTCTCTGTGCTGCTACGTGTAGTAACACCCGAAGAGTGGTCATCTTCGGGGTAGGTGCGAAGGTCTGAAAGAAGTCAACTCCCTCGCGCTGACTGAAACCTCTAGCCACGTAGCGCGCCTTGAAGACCGGGGGAGATCCTGGTGGCCGCTTCACCCTGTAGATCCACATGCCGTCGACTACGTTCGCCCCAGGGGGGGGGAACCTCATCGACGTAGGTGCCTGTGGATCTGTAGGAGGCCATCTCTGCGTCCATGGCAGCTCTCCACTGAGAGGCCCAAGGCCCTGACACTGCCTCAGCGTAAGTGCGAGGAGTCGGAATGTCAAGGGCGTCGGGGTCACCCTCAGGGGCGAGGAGCATGGCACAGAGATGAGGGGAAGCGGCCGCCAGGAACTCTAGCTCAAACTGCCTGTCCTCTAGGGCGTCACAGCCAAGGGCAGACACACCCCCGACGGCCAGAGGACTGGTAGGAGGAGCAGCCACAAGCGTGGTGGCGTAGTCAAGGCGGCGGGTAGAGGCAAAGTCAGTAACTGCGGCAGTAAGAGCGGACACAGAGGACACAGAGGCACGAGGGTGAGTAACAAGAGAGGCGAGAACACGAGAGAGAACAGGACGGTACGTGCGGTAGTAGTCAGTGACAGGAGTAGGGAGCGACACAGTGAGGGCCGACTCAGGAGGAGACGGAAGCACAGACTGAGACGGACGAGGTGGACTAGAAAGAAGGAAGGCAGTACGAAGGTCAGTGAAGGGAACAGGAGACGAGGGACGAGCACGAGGGGAGCGACGAGTAGCCCAAGAACGAGACGGAGGAGGAGAGGACAAAGGCGGAGAACTGGGGAAAACAGCGGGGGAGGAGTCAGGAGGAGGAAACGTGGGACCGTAGACAGGAAGAGAGGCGGAGGAGAGAGGAGAAGGGGAGGGGAGACCAAGGGTCTGAAGACCCGAGACAGGAGGAGGAAGTGGCTGCTGCTGCTGCTGCTGCGACTGCTGCTGCTGCGGAAGCGGCTGCTGCTGGGACTGCTGCTCCTGCGGGTCCAGCTGCTGCTGCTGCTGCTGCTGCTCCTGCGGCTCCAGCTGCTGCTGCTGCTCCTCCAGCCGCTGTAACTCCCTCTCCTCTCTCTCCAACGCCAGCTGCTCGTCACGGGCACGGCGAACACGAGCCTGGTGCCTAGTCGGGTAAGGGTGGGGGGGCGGAGTAGTGTCCGAAGCAGCGGTAGCTCCAGAGTCCACCCCCGAAGAACCAGGCGCACCACCCCCAGAGGCAGCACTAACACCAGCTCCAGACCCAGGCTCGCCAGAACCCGAAGGAGGCGCACTCTCACCCCCAGTGTCCGCGCGACCAGCACCAGCTCCCGGACGACAAGAGTCCTCTGCACCCACCGGGTCAGCTCCAACTCCAGAACCAGAAACTCCAGCTCCAACTCCAGCTCCAACCCCAGCACCCCCAGAACCAGAAACTCCAGTGCAAACTCCAGCTCCAACTCCAGCTCCAACTCCAGCTCCAACTCCACCACCCCCAGAACCAGAAACTGGTACAGGAACAGGCGCAGCACCAACCTCTCGAGAGCTAGCACCTGCGGCACGCTGCGAGGAGGACTGTGGGGAGGGAGGCTGTACCGGAGAGGCTACCGAAGGAGGAGGGGTAGCCTGGGACACACCCGACGGGGCTGGACCAGGGGGGGGAGGCTGTCCGGGGGAACAGGAGGGGGAGCGGCAGTCAGGAAGAGGGGGGGAGGAGGAACCTGGAGACCTCGACTGGGGTACCTGACGTAGTACGGAGTGGACTCCTCGAAACGGACGTCACGGGAGTCAAAGAACCGGTGAGAGGGAGGGTGGTAGAAGGTGAAGTCAGAGGAGTCCTCAGGGAAACCAAGGAAGACACAGGGGACGGCACGAGGCGAGAGCTTGTCCGCGGAGGTGTCGCGGACAAGAGCCAAGCACCCCCAGACACGAAACCGCGACGCAACACCAGGGGACCCTGTCCAAAGACTGGTCGGTGAAACCTCTGGTCGAGAGACACGTGGCCAGAGGCTCAGCTGGTGCGCGGCGTACCTGACCGAGTAGGGCCGCAGAAAATGGGGGGCACAGGCGTGAGTCAGGGAGGTGCGGGCGATCTCCATGACCAGGCCTATGCGGCGCTCACCAACCCCATTCTGCTGTGGGGACTCTGGAAGCGTCCAAGACTGACGAATGCCCTGCTCGCGACAGAATCCAGCGAGAATGCCGGAGCGAAACTCACCCCCATGGTCGGAGTGGAGGCAGCTGACACGACGACCACGAGTGTCCTCGGTGGTGAGCAACCACCTGATCAGCGTAGAAGTCACCTCAGACTTCTTCGCCAGAGGGAACACTGTGGTGTAGCGGGAGAAGTCGTCAATGACCACCAGAAAGTAGCGCTCACGCTCAGGGCCTAGATGAGGGGCGGGGCCCCAGACGTCCAAGTGAAGCGTCTCAAAAGGCTCGGTGGCCGGACGAAGGGAGGAGGAGTGAGGGGCGGCGCGCAGCCGACCCTCGACGCAGGGACCACACGGCGGCGCAAGTGAAGGCGGCAGCGACGGCAAGACACGTGGGAGGCCTAGGACAAGACGCTGACTAGACATAGCGCGCAGACAAGGAAGGGACGGGTGCCCCATCCGGTGGTGCCACAGAACGGTGGGGTGGGCAAGCGACCGGCAGGAGCACGACGCAGCGACTGGAGCAGACGTAGGAACCTGACACGACACAGACACCTGGGGGGACGAAGCAACCTGGTGAGATGCGGGGACCCGAACGGGGGGGGGAACCGGGGGCAGTGGCAGTAGGGGCGGCTGCTGGTGCGACCGCTGGTGCAGCTGCTGCTGCTGCGGCTGCGGCTGCTGCTGCTGCTGCGGCTGCTGCTGCGGCGCACGCGGGCCAGTGCGAAGAGTGTAGAGACCTGAGCCCGGCTCAGCAGTAAAGGTAGCAAGAGGCTGGTAAGAGTCTCCGTCAACACACACCGCAGTCTCTCCAGAAGGCTCAAACCACACACCCACGTGCTGACTCACGAGGGGTCGCACGCCCACCAAGTTCCGGGAGAACGAGGGGACGTGAAACCCAGTGAGAGACCCGGAGGGAGCAGCAGGACACGGTAAAGTGGTAGTGTGACGTGCAGTGACTGGTCCCGTAGTGGGATCAGCCAAAGCCACAGAAACAGGCGCAGGAAGTGGCGTAAGTGTCGTGCTGTCCCGGAAGAAGCAGTGTGAGGCTCCAGAGTCCAGCGTGAACGACAGCGAAGCGTCCTCTGAGGTAGTCGCTGGTCTAGAGTCTACACAAGAACCTACACTAGCAACAGGCAACTGAGCAAGACTAGCACCTAAGCTAACAACACCAGAGTAAACAGAGTCAAAAACACTAGAGTCAACAACAGCATACATAGCATGAGGAGCACCAATCAGATCAACTAACTGCTCAGCAGACATGCCCCACAGAGCGGAGCCGTAGCGCTGAACGTGAGGAAGCCAGTCAAGAGCAGGACCGCCAACCCCGTAGGCCAACCGGACCGTGTCAGTGAGCTGAGCAAAGCACTGACCAGGGGGGTGAAAGCGGCCACAAGGGTGGCCCCGACGAGGACCTGTCAGAACCTGATAGGTGCAGGGAGGGTAAGAAGCACCGCGCTGGGGCTGACGCAGCCCCGACCCCAGAGCCAACTGCTGACGCTGCTGCTCCTGAGGCTGGCGGGAGGAAAGGGGCTGCTGCTGCTGCTGAAGGTGCTGCTGACGCTGAGCCTGGTACCACGCCGCTGCTCCACCTAGCGGGGTCGGCAGTACAGGAGGCGACTGACGAGCTCGGGGGTCGCCGCCACCAGCAGGCGCAGTGGAGTCACCAGCCGCTGCACGAGGGGTCTCTCCAGACGCTGCACTCCCACCACCGCCAGTCGCAACAGCACCCCCACTACCTCCGCTACCTCCACCTCCACCTCCACCAGAACTACCTTTCTTGCCCCCCTTGCCGCGGGACCGCGACGCAGTCGTAACAGCAGCCGCAGTCGCGTCAGTAGCGGGAGTGGCGAGAGAGGCAATGAAGGTGGGTAACTGCGGGACTGTGCACCTGTGGAAGAGTGGGGGGGACACAGTACCAGAGGCGGCAGCTACCGAGCGAAGGTTGCTTTCGACGTCCTTGAGTGCAGACTCAAGGACCTCGATAGTCAGCTCACTAGGGTGCTTCAGCAGAAGTGCGTCACGAACGGAGGCTAGGCGGTCAGGGAGGCTAGTGGCGATGAAATAGACAGTAATCGCCATGGGGGGAGGAAGCAGTGCAAGCTGTGCCTCAGTGCAAGCAGCGCGGTAACTAGCGTCGAGCGAGCGGAGGTGAGCGATCAAGTCAGCAGAGCGCTCAAACGAGGCGAGATCAGGAAACAGGAACGGGAGGAAAAGACGGCCAAGAAAGACAGTAGCGGGAGTAGAGTAGCGGGCCTTAATCGCAGTGAGGTACGCAGCAGCGGTGCGAACCTGAGTAAAGTGGACCTCCTCTGACTCAGGGAGGAGGCTACTGAGTGCGATGCAGGCCGCAGCGTCACGCGACGTCCAAGCCGTCCGATCAGCGCGCTGACGGGCAAAGCGAGCCGTAGCAGCGTCGTCAGGGGCAGAGCCTAAAGCTGTAGGCTCGGGGGGCTCGGAGAGGTCACCAGTAGCGTGCGACCAGAGGGTCTCGCCCCCCTGGACCTGACTCTCTAACAGACGGCGAGCGCGAAGAAGCCAGACGGAAAAGTCAAGTGGTCTACCGTCAGCGTCGAAACGAAGAACTCGCGGAGTCGCCATAGTGAGAACTAACGCGAACGAACAGGCGAGTAACAACCGGGGAGAAGAGGCAAATTAGGGTTCAGGTGGGAAGGGGACTCAGTCGCAGCGGAAGAGCGGGCTAGGGCGACGGGCCAGGGCGTAGGATAGGGCGACGGGCCAGGGCGTAGGGTAGGGCGACGGGCCAGGGCGTAGGGTAGGGCGACGGGCCAGGGCCTAGGGTAGGGCGACGGGCCAGGGCGTAGGGTAGGGCGACGGGCCAGGGCGTAGGGACGGGACAGGGCGACGCGACGGGGCAGGGCGGCGCGATGAGGCAGGGTGACGGGACGGGGCAGGGCGACGCGACGGGGCAGGGCGACGCGACGGGGCAGGGTGACGGGACGGGGCAGGGCGACGCGACGGGGCAGGGCGACGGGACGGGGCAGGGCGACGCGACGGGGCAGGGCGACGGGACGGGGCAGGGTGACGGGACGGGGCAGGGCGACGGGACGGGGCAGGGCGACGCGACGGGACAGGGCGACGGGACGGGGGGGAAAGGGCGGGCACGACGTGACGGGGGGAACGGGCGCGACGCGACGGGGGGAAAGAGCGCTAGGCGACGGGGGGAAAGGGCGCGACGCGACGGGGGGGGGGGGGGGGGGGGGGGGGGAAAGGGCGCTAGGCGACGGGGAGAAAGGGCGCTAAGCGACGGGGGAGAGGGCGCTAGGCTCGGTACTAGGCGCGGTAACAACGGAACCGGTACGAACGAGAGGTAGGATCAGGCTCGGGAGGGACGAACGGAGAACGGAGGAACGGGATCCCACAGGATCCTAACCTAGCTGATACCATGTCAAAATGAGGAATGATGATGCCATTGATGTTGGTTGGGGTACATATAACAAACCCTAACTTCTGTACCCCCTAAGACAAACCTCACTACAGGCTACAACATTTGACAGTATCATCCTCAGCAGCAGCAGCAGCAGCAGAGGCAGCAACAGAAACAACAGTCATGCGACACCTATAAACGATTCGATCCTACCTCAGTCTCGAAAGGTCCTTTGTATTGATTCAGTCTCAGTATCTTCTCATGAGTTTGAATTTCTAATGCCACCCCACCCCACCAGGCACGAGCAGCAGGTGTGGGCAGCAGCAACGGCCTAAGGCATCCCACTATGAACCCCGCAGTGCAAGTGGTGACACTCGGTGTGTGTGCTGCACTCAGTGTGTCTTATCCCTGTGTGAATGTCTAATCCCTTCCCGCCCCAGCAGGCACGAGCAGCAGGTGTGGGCAGCAGCTGCAGCCATGAGGCATCCCACATTGAACCCCTCAGTGCAAGTGGTGACACTCGCTTCCTCCTTGCTCGCCCTCGCCAACCCCACTCTCCACCTCCCCACGCCTTGACTGTTCCTTGATTGGACCCATCTGCACCCAGCAAAACTTAATCACCCCCAGCTGCACCCAGCCATAGCCCACTGCACCAAGCTACGCCCAGCTTCACTCAGCTTCACTCAGCTTCACCCAGCTGCACTCAGCTGCACTCAGCTGCACTCAGCTTCACCCAGCTGCACTTAGCTGCACTCAGCTAACCCAGCTGCACACAGGACTGCATGCATCCTGGCAGGTTCCCAGAAGCCAGCGTTTTTGTGCCGCACCTACAACTGCAGCAATGCATCCTTGAATTCCATGCTCAATCCTGTTCAAGCTGAGCTAATAAAGTGAATGCCAAACTGCACTGGACGCTAGAATAATGCACAGCACATGTTTCTAAATTCAGTATTGGCAGGCATGTCATGCAACTCACTCCTGGCTGTGGTAGTAGAAAGGCTAGGGGTTCTGGAAACTAGCTACGTACCCAAGGTGCAATGGCAGGCGTGTCATGCCACGTTACAACACCCACTCCCATTTTTAGGTGATCTTGTTACATCACAGCACCACACATGGCTGTTTCCTTTCCCAGCCCAGCTCTGACAGAAATAGATCTGACATCATACTTCCACATATGGTGCGTACTTTCACGTCGAAACAACATAAATCATTGCGCACAACATAAACAACACATGGTAAGCAACGTCGCATGCGATGCCGAACAATTCTACTGATATGCCATGCATTTTGACGTCTAACTAGCCACGACCAGGGGTGATCTCCTAGTGTTGCTGCACAAGCACTAGCACCTCTACGCGCCAACAACAATCTTGTTAACCATGGTCACGGACGGGTTCAGCCAAGCAGGAGGCACCGCCTTGAACCCATACGCACCCTTGGACACCTTGCCGACCATGAACTGCATGAACGCCCTGGAAATTCTCCCGGTTGCGCCAGAGAGCGACTTCTTGATGAAAGCAAACTCCATGGACACCATGGGAGGCGTCTTGGCTCCGGCTTTCCAGATAAAGTCCACACTCGCCAACGACGCGTCGGGCGCGGCGGGAGGGGTGGTGGGGATGGCAAGCGCAGGGTTCCTTGACGGAGGCGCGACTGCCAGGCCATTGGCGTTCTTGAGAGCAGCGACCACGCGCTTGTTCGGAACGACGCTGCAGCCGCCGGTGAACGCGTAGCCAATGGCGCCCTTGGTCTTGAGCACGGCGTCGCACATGGAATGCGTGCCCTCCACCTTGGTGAGCCTGCTTTTGAGTCGACTCAAAAGCAATCGCACATGGAATGCGTGCCCTCCACCTTGGTGAGCCTGCTTTTGAGTCGACTCAAAAGCAGTCGCACATGGAATGCGTGCCCTCCACCTTGGTGAGCCCCGCGAACGTCAACGACACGCCGTCCGTCGCACGTGCCAGAGTAACCCTGCACCGTCTTCGACCACAGGGTCTTCACGATCGCGGTACTGCCAGACTTGCCGTTGCGCGCCATGGGGGTGATGGCGCCCGCAACCTTGCCGGCCGCGCCGGGAACGCCCGACCACGCGGTCGTGGCGCCGCTGTAGATCGCGTACGTCTGCGCCGCCGTCAGCGTGACGCCGGCCTTGCCGTTGACGAAGAAGCTGAAGGTGGAGACGCAGAGCGGCACGGTGATCTTGGGGGGAGCGCTGGCCTCCTGCGTGGAGGACATGGGGTCGTCGGAGATGGCGATCAGGTAGGTGCCGCCGTTGAAGCCGGTGATTCCGGCGCCAGATCCCACCGGATCGTACGGAACGAGCTGCAGGGCGGGCTTCATGCCTTTGTTGTACGCGTCGACGACGCCCTTCCCGGCCTGAAACGGCACAATTGCAAAGAGCAAATAGGTTATTTTTTTTTTTTTTTTTTCAGTAACTTGATATGGAGGATCATGTTTCTTTTGAGAATTCTCAAAAGCGGCTCTGGTCAGCAATTCGATGTGGAAGATGCTGGCTCGAGAAGCTTTTGTAGGTATGGAATCACGAGATTGAAACGGTGGTGGCTGAGATGTAGGTTGGACCTAGATGGGAGCGAGTTAGAGGGAAGTTGGCGAAGGTCTCAGAAAGTGGCTACAGCGGAATGGGTTGCATTGATTGTGTTGGGGTACAAGTACGTACGGTAACCCTAACTGTTTGTACCCCATATAGCATGACCCACTAAAGGATATAACATTTGACACACCCCCATAGCTTAAGTGGGGAATGCCAAGCAACAAGAAACGCAACCTAAGGTCACAAGACCAGTCGCAAGCAAGAGAGGAAACAAAGCTCAGGGTGGATCACAACGTCACCACACAATCTGAGCACAAACAAGGGGCCACAAGGCCAGTTCAAGAGTGTATAAGCTAATATATATCTGGTACACACACACAAGAGGCAAAAAATCACTACTGCGATCTACTAGACCCAGTCTCAACGAGACCTAACTGCAGACAAAACCGGCGGTGGTCACAAGGCTGAAGAGCCTTGGTGAAGATGTCTGCAGTGTTGGCCTCGGAGGCCACGAAGTCCAGACGAGCCTGTCCGCGTCGCTGCAACGCTCGAAGGAGGAAGTACCTGACGTCGATGTGCTTCACTCTGCTCTCCAGTCGAGGCTCACGACACAGGAGAATCATCGCCTTGTTGTCAGCAAACAAGGTCGGTGCAGAGCTCGGCCGCCCACCAAGGTCAGTGAGCAAGAAGGTCAACCAGCGTAGCTCCTGTGCATCAAGGGCTCCAGCGTAGGTCTCGGCCTCTGCGGTAGAAGTCGCAACAGAGGAGGACCGAGTAGACCTCCACGAAACAGCTCCAGAGCCCAAGCTGAAACAATAACCCTTTGTAGACCTCTGAGTCTCAACGTCGTCGGCATAGGAGGAGTCGCAGTGACCGGTGAGTACAACTGGCTGTGTCCCTCCAAGTACAAGCCCCATGTCTCATGTCGCGCCGAGGTACTTCGCCACCCTCTTAGCCGCCGCCCAGTGAACAGGTTGGAGTCTCCCAGTCGCAACAAAGCAAGAAAGGATGCTAAGAGGGAAGGCGAGGTCCGGGCGAGTACACGTCATCAGGTACATGAGGCAGCCCACCAGCTCTGCGTAGGGACCACTGGGCTCGAACGGCTCGTCAGGAAAAGGCCCAGTGAGTCTGTGGTCTACAGCAGGAGGGGTGGGTGTAGGAGAAGAGTGCTGAAGCTTGAACCGCTGAAGGACTTGCTGCACCATGTGTGACAGAGTAAGAGTGACGGTGCGAGCGGCTCTGTCCCTGGAGATCTGCAAGCCAAGGTAGCGGCGCAGTTCCCCAAGGTCAGTGCAGGTGTGTCTCTTCTGCAGTTCGGACTTCACCTTCCCCAGTCCAGCTGTGTCGGCTGTGGCAAAAACCAGGTCGTCAACGTAGACGAGAACGAAGAAAGGTGTGCGCCCACGACGAACAAACAGCGACGGGTCGGCGGAAGACGGCTCAAACCCGTGGTCGGAGAGAGTCGAGCGGAGAGTGTCGTGCCACTCACGGGGTGCCTGGCGAAGACCGTAGACCGGTCGTCTGAGGCTCCACTGGGTCTCTGGCGGGAAAGTGCCAGTGAAGCCCGGATGACGACGTAACCAGATCTCCTCGTGTAGGCGGCCCTGGAGGAAGGCAGTGGAGAAGTCAAGAGAGCGTAGCTCGTAATCTCTCTGCGCTACTACGTGCAGTAACACCCGAAGAGTGGCCGTCTTCGAGGTGGGCGCGAAGGTCTGAAAGAAGCCAACTCCCTCACGCTAACTGAACCCTCTAGCCACGTAGCGTGCCTTGAAGACAGGGGGAGATCCCGGCGGCCGCTTCACCTTGAAGATCCACATGCCGTCAACGATGTTCGCCTCTGGGGGGGGAACCTCGTCAACGTAAGTGCCTGTGGACCTGTAGGAGGCCATCTCTGCGTCCATGGCAGCTCTCCACTGAGAGGCCCAAGGCCCTGACACTGCCTCAGCGTAAGTGCAAGGAGTAGGTATGTCAGGAGCGTTGGGGTCTCCCTCAGGAGCGAGGAGCATGGCACAGAGATGAGGCAAAGCAGCTGCCAGGAACTCTAACTCAAACTGTCTGTCCTCTAGGACGTCACAGCCAAGGGCAGACTCACCCCCGGCGGACAGAGGACGGACAGGAGGAGCGGCCACAACACGAGTGGCGTAGTCAAAGCAACGCGTAGCAGTAAAGTCATTGACAGCGGCAGTGAGGACCACGATGGAGGAAGGAGAGGCACGAGGGTCTGTAACAAGAGAGGCGAGAACACGAGAGAGAGTGGGGTAGTACGTGCAGTAGTAGTCAGAGACCAGAGTGGATAGGGAGGCAGTGAGGGACGACTCAGGAGGAGGAGGAAGAACAGACTGAGGAAGACGAGGAGGACTAGAACGAAACAAAGCGGTACGGAGGTCAGTGACAGGGGACGAGGGACGAGCACGAGGAGGACGAGAGGTCCAAGTGTGGGCGAGTGGAGGGGGAGACGGAGGAGACTAAGAACAAGGGAACACAGCCGGAGCTGAGTCCGAAGGAGGAAACAGAGGACCGAACACGGGAGGAGAGGATGGGAGGCCAAGGGCCCGAAGGCCAGAAACAGGGGCCGGAGGCTGCTCCGTCTGCTGCGGCCGCTGCTGCTGCTGCTGCTGCTGCTGCTGCTGCTGCTGCTGCTGCTCCCGCTGCAACCCCAACCTCTCACGCTCCACCCGCTGCTGAACCTCCGACCTCTCACGCTCCAAACGCTGCTGCTCCTTACGCTCAAGACGAAGAAGGGTCTAGTAACGAGTCGGGTAGGAGTGAGGAGGAGGAGTGGTGTCAGGAGACGCAGTTGAAGAACCGGCTTCGTCTGCAACAGAACCCGGCTGAGCACCCCCAGAGCGAGTACCTCCCGCGGCAGCACGAGCAGCACCAGTAGGAGGCGCACCCGCACCCCCAGTCGTGGTGCCTCTAGTGACACCAGCACCAGCCCCAGACTCTCCAGCTCCACAAACACCAACAGCTCCAGCACCCTCAGAACGAGCAGCTGCGGCAGGTGCACGCTCAGCGCCAACGCCAACACCCCCAGACCGGGCTGCTCCTGTAGGCGCACAAACAGCTCCAGCACCAGCACCCCCAGAGCGAGCACCCCCAGAGCCCTCACCTCGAGCACCAACACCCTCAGAGTCCGCAGTGGCCGGTAAAGGAAGCGCTGGCGGCTGCTGCGGAGGCTGTGAGGACGACTGTGGGGAAGGAGGAGAGACCTGGGGGGGTACCGAAGGGGGGGGAGTAGCGTGGGACACACCAGACGGAGCGGGGACAGGGGGGGTACCGGACGAGCAGGGGCGGGAGGAGGAGGAGCTGGAGCCAGGAAGAGGGGGGGGGGGGGGGACCGGGAGGCCTCGACAGGGGTACCGGACGTAGTAGGGGACGGACTCGTCGAAACGGACGTCACGAGAGTCAAAGAACCGGTGAGAGGGAGGGTGGTAAAAGGTGAAGTCAGAGGAGCCCTTTTGGAAACCAAGGAAGACACAGGGGACAGCGCGAGGCGAGATCTTGTCCGCAGAGGTGTCGGGGACAAGAGCCAAGCAGCCCTAGACACTAAACCTCGACGCAACACCAGGGGACCCTGTCCAAAGACTGGTCGGTGAAGCCCCTAGCCGAGAGACGCAAGGCCAGAGGTTCAGCTGGTGGGCGGTGTACCAAGCCGCGTAGGGCCACAGGAAATGGGGCGCGTACGCGTGGATCATGGAGGTGCGGGCGATCTCCATGACCAGGCCTAAGCGGCGCTCAGCAACCCCATTCTACAGTGGAGAGTCAGGAAGAGTCCAGGACTGGGTGATGCCCTGCTCAACACAGAATCTGGCGAGAATGTCGGAGCGAAACTCACCCCCACCGTCGGAGTGAAGACAACTGACACGACGACCGCGAGTGCCCTCGGTGGCGAGGAGCCACCGGATCAGCGTAGAAGTCACGTCGGACTTCTTCGCCAAAGGGAACACGGTGGTGTACCGAGAGTAGTCGTCAACGACCACCAGAAAGAAACTCTCCCGCTGAGGGCCAAGACGGGGAGCAGGGCCCCAGACGTCTAAGTAGAGAGTCTCGAAGGGCTCGGTAGCCGCACAAAGGGAGGAGGAGTGAGGGGTGGCGCGCAGCCGACCCTAGACACAAGGACCGCACGGAGGAGCTGGGGACGGCGGGAGTGGCGGGAGGACTCGGTGTGAGAGGACGTCCCCGTTATAATATTTTCTCACTATTATATTTTTCCGTTATCCTATTCTCCCTTTTCTTCTCTTTATTTTGGTCTTTATCTCATCTCAATCGGCCTACTATTCTATTTTCTAGAGCCTTCTATTTATTTCTCTTATTTCCTACTTTTCCCACCGACATACCTATTATACGGCACCGACAGCGCCGACAGTGGTGTATACGGTGTAATCTGGGCGTAATCCCAAGTGCCAATAGACTTGCGTGCTTATGCGCACTTGTGATTGTAGTATCGGGAAGGGTGTGTTCCCGAAGGTTCGTTTTATCTCGTTTATCCTTGTACTTTCCGAGTATAAATAGGCCTTGTATTCAGTTTTAGTGACAAGTTTCGATTGAGAATTCGATCTTGTGACACTTGGTAATCAGAGCCGTTCTCACTCGACAACTCTCGGCTAAGCAGCGGTCGCGGAAAAAATCGCCTCGAAAAACCGCCGGGGGCGACCAATTCGACGCCGATTTCTGGTAAGTACCAGTTCCGCGCTTTTCGAATTAACCCCCTCGCGTGGTTTTTGAACAGGATGGATTCGCCGGCGACCAACGACGTTACGCAGCAGCTCTTCGCGCAAATCGCCAAGAT